AGAGAGAGAGAGAGAGAGAGAGAGAGAGAAGAAGAAGACTCACCTGGGCCAGCGCCATAGCTGGCTCCGCGGTATCTGCAGTTCAGCCATCGCCAGGTAAGTGCAGAAAGCGCCCAACTTTCTACCTCTTCTTCTTCTTCTTCTTCTTCTCCTCTCCTCTTCTCCTCCTACTCCTCCACAGTTCTTTCCTCTACTTCTTCTTCTTCTTCTTCGTCTTGATCAGAGTAGAGATAGAGGTGACTGCAGACATTGTGTGGATACGGCATTCTGCCTTATTGGACACGACATTCCGACCAGACTTACACACTATATTGGGATTGAACTGTGCACGACATCCGGAGATCAGATTTGGGTTGGACTTGGTTACCTCCTATGTCCCTCCCCCCCTTCTCTCTCGCATATCTATGGATCTCTCCCTATGTGTGTGAGCGGAAGGGCAATCTTTCTAATGTCCTGCCCTTCCGAAGTTTCTCCCTTTCCTGTTGTTGTCCACGTGTCCTCTTGGTTACTGTTATTCCGCTGCGCTGTTCCCCAGCCCATGATGATGATGATGATGCAAATGTGTTGTTGTTGTTTTTTCTCGTTGGTTTACTTGTTGTATTGTGCACATTGGCATCTGGTGAATGTTGCATCTATGCTGCTGGTTGTTGCCACTTTCATCATTGCTAGATCCTAGGCTATTAGTGCATTTCACTTTCTGATATGCTACAAGTGGTATCGGAGCTTGTGCGATGAATCTTGGCAACAACCAATCAATCGATTGATTGATTGGATTGGCGGTTTGCCACCAATCAAACTTCGATCGATTGATCAATCAAACAACCAGCAATCATCTGGGATTGATTGATTGATTGATTGATTGATTGATTGATTGATTGATTAGGTTGATTGATTATTTGGCAATTGTTTATTTAATCTTGGAAATTCCCGGAATTAATTATCATTTCATTATTTCTTTTTCCAAGAATTTTTTTTTCCCGATTTTTTTTTTTCCGAGAAAATTCTTTTCAAGAAATTATTTCTTTTTTCGAGGAAATTCGTTCTGAGAATTCTTTTTCCGAGAAATTCTTTTTAGTACCTTATTTAATTGTTAAATGTCTGCAGTTGACAAATTGGATTCTTTTTTTCCGATAATGTCCCTCTACACTTTCACTGCGTAGGTTTGCAAATTCCGTTCTTTTTTTCAAAAAAAAAAAAAAAAAAACGGCATTTTTTTCTTTTGCAACCTACTCCTACTCTGAGCTGTAAAGATACTTCTTTTCTGTTTCTGCCACTTTGAGCACCGAAGGGTTACCATTGCGTTCTGCATCACCTTCGGCACTCAGTGGTATTGGACAGTCTTTTCTTTTCGAATTTTGATTTATTTAAATTGTTTCTTAATTATTATTCTTTGCTTGATTAGGGAACTGTTCAATTTGGGATCTGTCCGACCCTTTCCACTTGTCTGCCCCCTACCTGTTCCTCCCCCTCCAGCCCGGGCACTGGGCCAGTCCGTCAGATTGGCCCTCGAGTGACTCTTCAGACTTCGGGCACAGCAGTGCATGACACTGCTCACTCGATCACAGACCAAGGCCATGGACCGGAAGGCGGGGGAATCCCTCCTGAGCTATGAGGAACGCCTGACGGCATTCATTCAAGAGGCCAACGATAGGGCCGCCGCCACGGCCAAGGAACGTCAGCAGCTTGAACAAGAGGGGGAGGCCAAGCGACAGAAGGAGGAACAGGACCGACTTCGTTAAGAGGAGGCAGACCTGCAGGCGGCAGCTGAACACCGGTCACGCCAGCGGGAACGACTGTTCACACGGGAGACCGTGATCGGCGATAAGGCCGCACGTTGGGTGGAAGTGGCATCTACAGACGAGGCCCCGGAGACTGAGAAAGGGCTGTCAGCCCTTGCACAGGTCTCCCACGACCTCGTGGCCACCTGYGCTCTGCAGCAGGAGGAAATCCTCCACCTGCAGCAGACAGTGGACCRGATGCTCGCACGGCTGCAGGCGTTGGAAAAACAGCCAGCAGCTGTAGCAGCCGCAGGGCCTGCAAACCTTGCGACCGTGTTCAAGTCTTGGAGGACGACGTCGGCAATATCAAGCGTGTGCATCAGGACTTCAGAACGTCGCAGCAAGCAACGAACTTGCAGTTGGAGACGCAGGTCCAGGCGGCTGCCACCGTGACGCCCGCCGCCGCATCCTCYAGGCGCCCACCCAAGCTAGATGACATTCCAGTCTTCTGCGATCAGTCCAAGACGGAACCGATCCCGTGGTGGCGCCTGTTTACTCTCCGGCTCAATATGCACCATGTCCCGAACAACGATCGACATCCGTGCTTGTACCACCGATCTGGTGGTGCGTGTCAAGCATGGTTGGACAACATCTTGACCAGCCAYGGCGTAGCAGTGTCGGAACTACACACCAAACTCACTTGGCAGGAGTTGACTGACGCCTRGCACAAGCGATTCCAAGTGGAGCCGCCCGACCTGCAAGCGATGGACAAGCTCAACAAGCTCCATCAAAACACRCTGCTCAGTCAGGACTGGATCACCGAGTTTCAAAGACTCGCCTCCACACCTAACCTGCCGCTCGCATTCCGCGCCATCAAGCACTTGWTTATCATGCGCTCGTGTCCGGCGCTGCAAAACGCGCTTACGCAGATTGCAGAGACACTCGACACATCCGACAAGCTTTTTAGCACAGCGTCACGGATCATTCTGACAAATATCGAAGCCCGCAACGCAGGGCGATCTTCCGCGACAACGAGCGGCACCCAGCTCAAGCCAAAGGTGGCTTGCATTATTTCTTCCGAGCCTGCAACACCAAACGAGGGTGAAGTGTTGGCAGCTGCCCGGGATGGTGGCCGGCCGCGCAACAACCACGGCCGCGACAAGACGAAGACTCAATCCACCTCGACACCGAGCACCGGATCAGCCGCCGACGAACCTTGGGTACAATACGGACTCTCGGCGAATTCTTATCRCACGCGACTCAAGTACCGGTATTGCCTTTGGTGCAACAGCACCATCCACGATGCTGCACATTGCCCCACCAAGGGGAAACCCCGTCAGGGAAAGTAGGCGCCGCCGAGGGAAACTCGACACCTCCCTCGACGCCATCGGAAGCGGTTGTGGCCACGACCGCCCTTTCTTCCGAGGCATATGCAGATGTCGGGAGTCTTCAACTTTCGTTCGAAGACTTCGCTGCCCGGCTCGTTCCTTCACTGGATGCTACTCAAGGACAAGATACA